GGCTGCGGTGGCTGGGGGCACAGCTCGGGAGGCTCGCACCAGAGCGCGCGCACACTCGCCGCGCAGGCTGGGTGCCCCCGCTCTCCGCCCTCGAAGCGTTCTCCTGGGATTGCCCGGGAGCAACCACGACTCCCGCCGAACCAGGCGGGGCTGTGCGGGCGCTCTCCTCCCTCGTCTTGGGCCTGCTTTCCCCCAAAGGGCTTTAATTGCACTGGGATATTCTGTAGTAAAAACCAAAAACCAAACAAAAAACAGTGATTCTGATTCCCTGCTGTAAAATTCACGAAAATCCACTCAGAGCTGGCCCAAAAACTCCCAGAAAAATTCCCTACACAGATGTCTGTTACAAAACAGAGGGGGAGACGAATGGTGGCTAACCCACTTCAAGGAAAAAAAGTGCTATTTTTTCCACTGCCACTCCACAATCTTGCTCAGCCCTCTGCGTTGACCGCTCCACTCGCTGCTCCTCTCGACCTTTGGAAAACAAGATGCTAACCGGTCTCTTCCTCAGCCGGCATTGTCCTCGCCTCCTTTCGCACGCACGAAGTGTTGGATGGACTCTGACCTAGGCCACCGTGTGTCCTCGCGCTCCTGATTACTACCGCCTCTGTGTTGTAAGCATTTGCTTCTCTTCTTTATGGAATTATATAAGAAAACTGAGAACAGACGTCCACAGTTAGTAACACCTGCCCCTAAAGCTTATAACTGCCACATTTGCTTCCGTTTTTTTTAACCATTTCGTTTTTCTGTTAAACAATAAAAGCACACAATTAATATATGCTAACCTTCTGACTTTGATTTATTATTTATGCTGTTCAAGGAAGTCAAGTATACAAAATGAAATTAAATCCCCAGAGAACAATGGGGGCCCTGCCTGATAGGCAGAGGCAGGCGCGCGGGGGGGGGGGTGGGGGTGGGGGCACCCTCCAGCCACCGCCTTTTCCGGCACGGCCCGACCCGACCAGGAGGCCTTGGCTCAGGCAGAGGCGCGACCCTGCCCCGCCGCACCATCCCAGCCCCCTGGAGCCCTCTCTCCAGTCAAAGGGGACCTTCAGAAAGGTCCCCGCGCTGACTCCTGGCAGCGCTCTAGCGCCGTTTGGATTTCGAAAACAACCCGGGCTCGGTGCACCAAACTGGAGAAAACCACTCGCGAAACCCTGGGGAGACGCCGGAGAAGAGATGAATGGAGTAGTTGGGGAGAGTGTTGAATGGGGGCCACAGGCCTTCGCACCCGCCCGCTCCCATCCAAACAGCCAAGACCGCATTAAGACCCGAACGGACACGCCCCGGATAGGCCAGGAGCGCACCTGCACCTTCCGGCACCTGCGCGTCCCGGACTCCCAGGATTCATCGGACCCCTATGTGCCTGCCCTACTGGAAGACCACCTCACTACAGAACCTAGATTGTGGGGGGAACCAACGACGAGCTTAGCGGGGGCTTAAACCTAGTCCCCCTCCCGACTAAAACAGATTCCCAGGATGCGTTGTGGGGAGGTGGGCGTAGACAGGTGGTCCCCACTAAACGAAGAAGACAGAGGAGATGAGGACTCGGCCCTGGCCTGAGTGGGGTGAGAGGAGGGGAACGTTAAGATCTGCCACAGACTTGCTAAGAGCACGCTAAGAATGCGAGGGACCGCTCTAGAGAAGTTGCGCGGAGCCAGCGGAGCCTGTGATCGCAAGGCCACAGACGCAGAGGGTTTTGCAGTTGGCGGGCATCTAAGGAACCAAGAACAGTCAGTTGCACTTAGGACCTGGCCTTCCAGAAGGGCGGAAATTCGGGTTGGCTCACGCATCTTCCGCTTTTCCACCTTTCACGAAGGGGTGAAAAAAACTGAGGAAGGCCCCAGCGAGATTTGAACTCGCGACCCCTGGTTTACAAGACCAGTGCTCTAACCCCTGAGCTATGGAGCCAACTACACCTACCCCTTGTGCGCAAGAACAGTTGACACCGCCACCGTCGGCCGCGCAGCCGCAAAGAATCACAGGGAGGAGCTAAGCAATGAGAAGCGGGCCGCAGCCTTTCGGCCGAAGAGGACATAATCTCGCCGCCGCTGTCTCACCAGCGACGTTAGTAAGTGTCAGTGCCGGCAGGCCAGGCCGCAAATCCTGAGAGAAAGCCCCGCAGAGAGACGGCAGACGGTGCGCTCCGCCGGGCTGTGAGGGATAGGGCGAGGGCGTGACGCTACGCAGGCAGGGGCGGGGCCTTCGGTGGGCGGAGCTTAGGAGGGCCCGGGTCTTCCGGGGGCTTAGGGGTCAGGGGCAAAGACCCGTTCGTTGGCTAGAGAGGTCGAAGGCTTTTTGTGTCTGAGAATGAGGATCCGAGGTCAGGGCTGCGAGGGAGGAGTTAGGGGAAGGGTGTCAATAGACCTGTCCTGAAGGAATCCAGGTACAGGCTGGTAAGGTGGGCTGTCAGTGGGCAGTAAGAGATCTGGGGGGAGGGGCGGAGAGAAGGTGTTGGAGAAATCAGAAGGTCGAGGCGTGAGGAGGTGCTGGGCAGAGAAGGACTGGGTCAGGGCTGGGGGTCCCTAGCCCCTGCTGCACCTTTAGGCAGGTTAGGAAAAGGCAAACCTTGGGGCTCACCTTAACTCTTGTGGAACTGGTTCCCTAAGAGCCCCTAAAAGCCCAGGGGATATGGGGCATGGAGAGGGTGGGAGCCCAGATGAGGGACAGGAGCCCTACCCTGCAACGATGAGAAACTGGAGGGCTGTCCAAGATATGGAAGTTGCCCAGTGCCCATCATTGACAAATGGATAAAGAAGTGGTATATATACACAATGGAATGCTATTCAGCCATAAAAAAGAATGAACTCTTGCCATTTGCAAGGACCAGATGGAGCTAGAGAGTATAATGCTAAAGGACATAAGTGAGAAAGATAAATACCATATGATTTCACTCATGCGGAATTTAAGAAACAAAACAAATGAGCAAAGGGGAAAAAATGAAAGAGAGAGACAAATCAAGAAACAGACTCTGAACTATAGAGAACAAACTGATGGTTATCAGAGGCGAGGGGGTGGGAAGAGGAGTTAAATAGGGGATGGGGATTAAGGAGTATACCTGTCATGATGAGCACAGGGTGATGTACAGAAATGTTGAATTACTATATTGTACACCTGAAACTAATAAAACACTGTATGCTAACTAACTGGAATTAAAATAAAGCCTTAGATAAAACTTAAAAAAAGAAAGTGGTGGACCTTGACCTGGTGACCCAACCTGCCCCATGGTCCCTGCAAGACCAGGTGACTTGGGCCGGTGGGTACCCTCCAGTCTGCATGCTGAGGGGCCATGTGAGGGTCTGTTGTCAGGGAAATGGCTCATGCAACTCAAGGATCTGGGACTCATGGGTGGGATCAGAAGGAACCAAGTTAAGCCAGTCATTGCTTTCAGAGACCCAAACATCTCACAGATCTTAGGATGCCCAAAGTATGGGAGAGAAAAATGCACACAGTCACACATACTCTCACACCAGCATTGTGACATCCAAAGTCACTATACTGTCCTAGTGACCAAAAGAGAACATTTCTTACCCTCAGTGTGTGATTGTTACTATAACTGTTGTGATATTTCTTCAGATACATAGATGTCTATGTAGTTAATCTGCAAACACACATACTCTGGTAGACACACAATCACATTCACAACATAAAAGCTGAAAATATACACACAGACAGCCACCCCTGCAGTCCCCAGACCTGGTCCTATGGGCACCTCCACCAGACACCCCCCTTCTGTGACCTGTAATATGTGTTGCAGTCCTTCAGCACAGTTGTTACGTGACTTTAACTGTGATACTCAGTCCAAAACCCATACAAGCCCAGATACCATTAGGGCTTGATGATAACATTAGCCAATTTAATTAGCAAGTGAATGTTAAAAATGGGTTTTCCTTGTGGAAATTAGTGGTATTCAAATACATGCATTGGCTACAATGTTCTAAAGCTACTCTCCGTGTGTGAACACCACATAGGATTCACCCTCTGGAATGATACAATGATACTGTATGCTGGACTCCTTTTTTTTTTAAGATTTATTTATTTATTGGGGGGAGAGAGAGAACATGAGCTGGTGGCGGGGGGCGGGGGGAGTTGTGCAGATGGAGAGGGAGAGAAAGAATCTTAAACAGGCTCCATGCCCACCACAGAGCCCCACAAGGGGCTCGATCTCACCACTGGAGATCATGACCTGAGCTGAAATCAAGAGCCAGAGGCTTAACTGACTAAGCCACCCCTGTAGGCTGGACTCTTATATGATCCTAGCCCCAGCCCATAAGCCACTGGATTCTGATTACCTGGTGCTATGTCCACTGGGTCTGCCTCTAGAACAGTATCATGCCTGCCCTGTAAGACCCTTGTATGCAAAGTGTGCTTGAAGCATCTCAGGGATAGAGCACAGAAACTCCATGACACTTGCAGACCAGACTATTCAATTGTCACTGCCCCTACATGCCAACATACCTGTCTAAACCTATGCAGGACAGAAGACGTCTGAGACTGGCTTTCATCTAGCCAGGTAGCCAGGTAGTGGGGGAGGAAACCTATGGCCCTGACCTAAATATGGGGTAGCTAATATTTAGCAACAAATAAAAAATAAGGTATTACCAAATTGACCTAGGTCGATTTGCAATACCTAAGCCCTATGCACATGCTGATAAATGCCCGCTCCAAAACCCACACACACCCCTACCCCCCTCAATCTGAGATATAAACACATATGCACACATTCCTCACACACTTAAACACAATTGCTCATCCAGTCTAGCAGAAACCTTTGCTCCTACTGTGCTCTTGCACTCAGTCTGGGGGAGTCAAGAATGAGCTAAGCCACCCTAGAAATGAGGTCAGTCTATTTCCTTCTCCTCATCCCCTTTCCCTGGGGAGCATTAAGCACGGAACAGCCCAACACCCCCTCCCAGAAACCCACCCAAACAGAAGCTGGGGAACAATTAGCCAAGGGATAACACCCCACCAGGGCAAAGGCTGAACAGACCTTGGCACCAGGCTGCTGTTGGCGTACACTTGGCAAGTTCCAGAAAGGGTATGTCAGAGGCATCCCATGTGCTGTCCCATGCTGATATTAGTTACATCCATAAAATTATAAGTGCTGTTTTGTGTTTGAAAATTCCATAACCTTTGGTCTCCTTACTCAAGGGAGACTATGCTTTGGCATTTGGAAGGGGTTTAGGCATCTGTGAGCACACATGGCTGTCACTGTGGCCGAGAAAGTACATATCACTCTGTATCATCAGGTTGAGGGGTACTGGAAAGTAGCCATGCCCTTGGGCTTTCTGCTCATGTACAGGTCAAGAATCTCCTTCCAGTTCTGGTCCAGGCTGTTCTCTGAGCTGGGAGTACAGCGCTCCTTCCTGAGTAGAGACCTCAGGTCAGCTGGATCCAGGTGTCTGAAGGCAGAGCTGACAGCTGACAAGAAGGGAAAGCAGAAGTGATCATGAACCTGGATGTTTGGGCCTGAACCTGCTCCATGCACTGAGGACAGCACTGGGTTTGGTGTTGCTCCACAGAACCAGAGGCCCTGCTAAGCCCAGGCAGGAAACCCCAGGGATGGGAAGTACCTCTGTGGGTAGCTTGGCTGGCGTCCTCACCTACCTGCACTTCCTTACAGCTCAGGCCAGATCCACCTGCCCACAACAGGCAGAGGACTGGCCCCAGGGGTCCAAGGCATCTCCCCCTGCTCAGTTGACCGCAGAACCCTTTTCCACAATCGCCCGTTCCGCTGGCTCTAATGTTGTGGCCTGCAGGAGCCCCTCTAAGGCAACCCAGGCCGAGTCGCGGGGGGGGGGGGGGGGGGAGGGCCCAAAGTAATCAGGAGGCTCCGACAGAGGGCACCACTGCTTCCCGCGGGCAGCCCCCGGACAAGGAGGAATGCCCCCTTGACTGACTCACCCTCTCTGAGAGGCCACGGAGGCCTTTCAAGGCCAGATTCGTAAGTAGGTGCCGGTGGAGCAGACGGAGAAAAGCGGGAACACGCGCTCGTGGAAATTGACGCGGAAGGTGTAGAGGTGGCGCATGTCCTCCACGGCGTAGAAGGACACGGCGCCCACCTCCAGATCCAGGGCCACCCGCACGCGGGACAGGTGGCCACAGCTGAGGGGCGTCCGTTCGGGGCTAGTCACCGCCCAGTACTTGCCGCTGTTGAGCTGCAGCGCCCAGACGCCCTCCTCAGGGGTGAAGGGCGTGAGGCCCTTGCGGCGCACGCTCTCGCGCGCCACGCCAAAGGCCCAGCCGTCCTTGGAGCCCACTTCCACCTCCCAGTGGTGCCGCCCCGAGGAGAAGCCGCTGGACGCCAGGACCCGCGTGTTGGTATCAAAGCGGCGTGGGTTGCAGGGCAAGTCCTGGGCCCGCTGTCCAAGGCGCACGCTCTTCAGATCCAGGGAGAGGATGAGGCGGGGGTTGGCGGTGTCCGGGTCCAGGGTCAGCTCCACTGAAGGCAGACACAGGGACAGACGTCCCATGCAAGCCCCTTGCTCACCTTTCACCGGTTACTTCTCCATCACCATCCCCCCACAAAGTACGTGGGAAAGTCAGATGGAATGTAAGAACCTAATTTGGATCAGATCCACAAATCCAATTTAAAAGACATGGGGGAATTCTGAACACTAGATATGAGAAGGAACCGTTACTTTTTCTAATTGTGACTATGGTTTTGTGGTTATGTGGGATTTTTTTTAAGTCTATCTTTAGAGATAACATATTAATATTTATGGAAAGGACTTGTGATTTGCTTCCAGTGGGAAAAAGGGGGTAAGGGTGTTCAAGAAAAGTATTAGCTGAAGGTATGTGATGAGAACATAATATGCATTATGATCGTCTTTTTACTTTTGTGTATGTTCACAATTTTCATAATAAAAACTTAAAATATGCACACTTGTCCTAAGTACTATCTTCCAGGACTGTTGTGGGCCCCGGGAATCCCACAGTTCAGTATCCCTGTCCTCCTGCAGCTTCCTTTCTCGGGGGAAGGGAGGGAGAAACGAGAAAAGATAAACACGGATGGTAAGAGGAATCAGGAGAGAAGGCTATAATCTCAACCAGACTGGCCAGGGAAGGTGAAAAGGCCTCACTGTGCAATTCAGCAAAGACATAGAGGAAGTGAGGAAGCCAGATATGCAGCTGTCTGGAGGATGCATATACCAGGCTGAGGCCCAGCTAATGAAGTGCAGATGTCCTGAGGTACATGTGTGCTTGGTGCATCCCAAGAGCGGCAAGGAGGGCTTGTTGTGTCTGCACAGAGTAAGCCAGGGGGAGAGTGTGCAGTGAGGCCAGATCCCTAAGCCTGGAGGACCACAGTGAGGACTATGTGGAGTGAGAGAGGCTGTCCCAGGGTTCTGAGCAGAGGAAGAGCATGATCTGACTCAGCTGGTGTAGATTGTTCCAAGGTAAATTCTGACTTAGCTTTTTCAGTCACCAGCATCAGCAATATGTGCCCTCCCCTCCCCTGCCCTCCTGTGGGGTTGGATCCCATTCACCCCAGAGCTCTGCAGTAATAAGAACTACCTCCCTTTCTCTCTTTAATCTCCTCCTGCTTTCCCTGACCCCTGCACATAACCCCTGTCCCCAGCAGAGGTGTCTGTCTGGGAGTGGGGAGAGGGGAGAGAGACTCGTCCAGGTGAGTGACCCACAATTTATAGGCCTACAGGTCCCACTGAAGCCTGAGGGAGCCAGAACTGGGAGGCAAGGATGAGGAAGCAGACAGCAGAAGGCAGAGGTAGGCAGGATTCTTTACATGGCCAAATAATGGGAACTCACTATCACAACAACCATCATACCTTTCTCCTCTTTCTCGAGCTCTCCCCGAAGATCCTCTGAGGAGGAGAAACAAAGCAGTGTATGTGTAAATAACTCAGAAGATTGTCTATCTGACAATTACAGTGATACCAAAAGATACCACCTCCTCTGACATTTATAGCCCCACTGGCTCACTCACTCCCCAGATACCCCAGAGGCTGAGAGTTGATGTACAGACTCTGGGTCAAGTGTGGGGGGTGGGGAAGGGGCAGTACCCTAGTTCTACTTCTCCAGCTTCCCCCTCTTTTGCCTGAGCTGGTCTGAGCTGAGCTCTTTTTCCTCATCCCTCTTTTTGCTAATACCCCTCTACCCTGACTGTCCCTGGGGGAATCTTTGTGCTGGGGACGTGGTGGTGGAGGGGGGAACTGTTGCTGAATGGATTTGCTACTACCATCTCCCTGCACCAATCTGGCCTTGACACACCCTAGCTCCTACTTTCTCACATAGCTTTTAGAAAGGCACATCCTTGGGACCCCAAACTACCAGAAACACACCATGCCCACCAGCACTGCATGGCCCAACCCCAAGCACAGGCCCCCTACCTTTGAACTTCTTGAGCAGCCCCTTTAAGACAAAGGTCTTGAGGGAAACATTCCAGACTTTATTCTTCATCTCAGAAGAGACTGTGGTTGGCTTGGGGCCAGGCACATTGCTGCATCTGCAAGACAAAGACCCTGAGGAAGGCCCACAAACACTGTCCTATTCCCAGTGGGCTGAGGCATTTAGGATGGCAAGGTCCTCTTGGTGGGGAGAGGTGAAGAAAGGAGAGGCTGATCTTGCACCAGAATATCTACAGCCAGGCAGGTGGACATTTGCCTTAGAAGGTACAGAGGTAAGGCAGTGTGCGAATTGGGAGATGAGAGGTCAGGGGTAAGGGGATGAAGAGAGAGAGCTCAGTGGAAAAGGAGAAGAGCCAGCTTGGAGAGGCCTAAGGAACTCTTAGGTCCACTCACCTGCTTAGGGTGTTTTTGAATTCCTGGAAAGCAAGATGAAAGAAAACCAACTCAGCATCAGGTAACCTCCAGTCATCTTTGACAAAATAAAACTGGCAATAAGGTGTACCACGCCCTACCACCTGCGTGGGCCCAGATGGCAATGGCTTTCTGCTGTGCCTGATTACTGGGTGTCTCATCACCTCCCTTCCCACAGCTTTGCAAATGTTCCCTTTATTACAGAATCACCACTGGAGCCATGTGCCGGGATCCAGAGCTGTCTCTGCTCTCAACACCATCCCAGATAAGTCACAGCCCTGAGGCAATGACTGGTCACTCAGACCAGCCTCTTTTAAATGACTATGCTTGACCCATTTGTGACTTGTGAAGTTTATTTGTGGATTGTGACTATTTCCAAAGGAAACAGAGTAGAAAATGTCAAAATGCATCACATGTACTAAAGATAAGTATTATTTTCCAAGACTTTTGTCACAAGGCTTAGATACACCTTGTATATAGCTCTTTGGAACTCCTTTCTGTCTGCTAGATTGGATACTGCCCAATTCATGAATCCTTGAGTAAAGCCAATAAGATCTTTATTGTGGCTCGAGGTCAAGAAAGTTTTACATCTTTTTATGCCTTTAACCCCAGGAGAATCCGTGCAGTTTTCTCCATTCGCCTCCTGCTCAAGTATGCAATTCTAACTAAACTCACAGAATCTGACTCTGTTCTCACTTGCCATTTGTAATGCCTTAGGATAAATGATTCATACCTCTGGCCAATCCAGACTCACCTGGAGAAAGTCAAGGTCAGGCTTTCGAGTTGTCTCCTGGATCTGCCTGCTAAGCTTGGAGAGCTGGGTGATCTCACCCCCAAGCTGAGCTATGTTCTCATTCTGCTTCTGTGTCACCTCCCGGGACAGCTCCTCCAGACGGCCCAAGAGCCGGCCCTCCTGCTCCACCAGGAAGGCCCGCAGTGCCTGGAACTCTGCACCCACCTTCTCTCGCTCAGCTGCCATCTGCTTCTGTCTCAGGAGAGGAGAATTTGGAGAGGCAATGGGACATCAAGATGTAGCATTTGGGTAGTAGCCTCTGAGCCATCCCATGGGACAGAATTCCATCTACCTCACTGTTTAGGGGTCAGAGGCTCACCTACACATACCCACCACATACATCCTTTAGTTTAAATATCCCAACTCTGAGCACACAGCAGCTTCAACACATGCTGTCAAGTCCCCTGTCACAAATGTGCTCTCCCACCAACCTAGGGCAACTTCAAACTTGCCCCAGAACCACCCTGGGCTATAGCTGCCTCATTTGCAAAGTAGGAAGAATAAATTAGTGCCTCCCAGAGCCACTGTAAGGATTAAACTGAGGTCACATCCTCCCCACCCCCAAACACATTTATTTCGAGTTAAAAACAAGACAACAGACCCAAAATGGAGTCACCCATGCTAAGTCTCACCTCAGGAAACAGAGACTTAATTACAGTTTCAGTTTTCCCAGAAATAGAATTTTAAACCAATCAGGAATCACCTGAGCAGTACTAGTTAAGTAACTGCCTGATAAACCCCTACACTCCCCAAGAGGGAAAGTAACTTTGTAATAACTAATCTGCTTTTTGGCCTAGTATAAATTCCTGGTTCCTGCTCCCTTCTGCTTATGAAATCTTTTGCCTTGTATAGCTTTTCAGAGTTGTTTTTTTTTTTTTTTGTCAGAGAGAGAGAGGGCATGCACAAGCAGGGGGAGCGGCAGGCAAAGAAGCAGGCTGCCCAACATGGGCTCAATCCCAGGACCCTGGGATCATGACCTGAGCTTCATGAAGGCAGGCACTTAGCTGACTGAGCCACCCAGGCATCCCTTCAGAGTTGTTTTCTACCTGCTAGATGGGATGCTGCCCAATTCATGAATCCCTGAATAAAGACAGTAATATCTGCAAATTTTACTCAGCTAAATGTTCTCCTTCAACATTTGTCATCCCTCCAGTTTTCACTCTTCACTTTACTTCTTTTTAAAGAATGCACACACAGGGCCAGGATGGTGGGTGGTCCTCTGTTGTCACTCAAAGAGGGCCCACCTGGAGGGTGCCCCGCTCACCAGGAGCTCCTTGCTCTCCTTCTCTTCAGTGGAACGAAACACCTCATAGTCCTCCAGATCCTTCTTCAGGACCTTCAGCCTGGACTCCAGGAGCTCCTGCAGGAGGGTGAGAAGGAAGACATTATGGGAAGAGGACTCTGGAAACCCCAACTTGTGCCTTCCTGGAGCCATCCAGGACAAAGAGAAGACCCTCTTCATTGATGAGGAGGAGGCAGGGTTGAAGCCATATCTGGACATGGGGATGGCTACAACCTGCATAGACGCACATAGCAGAGTAGGGGAACTGACCCGTGACTCCTAAGGCCCCAAGGTCTCATTTCCCCAAGACCATCTGTACACAATCCAAGCTGAAATGCAGGCCATGTAGGAGCCCAACCTAACCTACCTTGTCTTCCCCTCTGCTTTTCTCCTCACCATCCGAAAGCCGCCTGGGTGGGAGGGCTGGAGTGGTATAAGGAGTAAAGAAAGACTGGGGACTGTGTGCCTGAAGCCTCTGAGGACACCCCAGAAAGGAGGCAGGGAAGAGACTGCCCCAGATCCATATCTTTGACACAGCCCAAGACAGCTTTTGGTGCTCTGCTCAACCCAGGAGTCACCCACTGCCTTACCCCAACCTCTTGGGAAGGTCGTCCCACTGGGCCCCAGGACGCAAGGACGTAGCAGAGCGCCACGCCCGGGGAAAGTGCTGAGAGTGCGGGCAGAGGAAGTGTGGATGTGACGGAGACACTGCTAGAAGCCAGGGACAGACAGAAAATCGCCAAGTCCGTGGAGGTATCGTGAAGTCGGTCCAGTAGGGAGCCCAGAGGGCAACTCGAGGTGGGTGGGAGGGTGTTATTAGTGGTGTGGCAGTGACACAGGGAGAGCCGCACTCAGTCCCAGAGCCAGTGCTGGGTAGCATGGCAAAGGAAAAAAGAGGCAGGGTCTCACCTGGGCCTCCTGCCTGCCTGCCAGCCGCCTGCACTGCGTGCGCGGGAAGACAGAACCCGAGCTGGGTCCTGGGGGTCTGCACTGGGGTGGCGGGGGGAGCTCACCTTAGCTTCCTGCACAGCCTCGTCAAGCGGCAACACTGCGTGCGCGCGATGTTCGCGGGCGCGGTCGCACACCACGCAAATGGCGCGTCCGTCGTCTTGGCAGTAGAGCTTGAGCGGTTCGCCATGCTGGACGCACCCAGCCAGCGCCACCTCCATGGGCTGGCGCTCCCCTGGCGCGGCCGCAGGTAGACCGAAGCGCCGCAGCAGCGTGGCCACCGAGGCCAGCTGCCGGTTGGGCCGCAACTGGCCGGGACGCACGGGCTCTCGGCACTGTGGGCAGGGCAGCGGGCCGGGCAGCGCGCGGCACGGCGCTGGGCCTCCCACGCCGGGGCGCTCCCAGCAGCGCGCGATACAGGAGCGGCAGAAACTGTGACCGCACTCGACGGACACTGGCTCGCGGAAGAGCTCCAGGCATATAGAGCATGTGGTCTCGCCCTGCAGCTCTGCGGCCAGTGCCAGCGCCTCGGCCCCGGCGCGGGGGTCTGCCCGCGGCCCCACCGCCGCCATGCGCTCCCTCAGCGCACCTAAGTCGGGCGGTGCTGGGGAAGTCGAGGGGCTCGACAGTGCGGCTCGGAGCGGTGAGGCCGGATTCGGCCTCCGAGGACCCACGGGGAGAGGAAGGGCGGGGCTGAAGCCGGGCTGGCGGAGACTGGAGCTGAGAGCTTGCCGGGCCGGGAAACGAGAAGGGAGTGAGCGCGTTGTGGGCGGGCCAGACCTCACTACTCGATCGGATCCAAGTGCGGGCCAGCGCCATGCGCCCCCGGCTCTGGGCCGCTCAAACACTGGTTTGGTCTGCGGCCTCCTTGGTCCCCTGGCACCCCCTCTCCGTCACGCCCCCCCCACCTCGCCCAGCCCCTCCGCAAGCTTCTCTAGGCCACCCCCAGCCTGACCCAGTCAGCCGTGGGAAACGGGCCTGGATAAGTGGGCGCACACACCCAGCTGGGTGCCACTCCAGTCCTTGGCCGGGCCAAGGGCCTAGCGCCGAGGCCACAGTGTCAGGTTCCCGGAGTGCAGGTTGGTCCTGGCCCGGTGCTGAGCTAAATTTAGTGTCTGTAACATGGCTCTTGCCCCCACCCCCAAGCGTGGCTTGTATCCACTTCGGCGGCTACTTTTCCCACGTTTGTTCTGCCCCTTGTTTATTCTTTCTTTAATTTTTGGCTTTGAACAAATAATACATTTACAATACATTTTCCCACTTTAATCTCCACCAAAATAACCCAACCCTCTAATGTCCCCCCAGAACTTCCAGGAATATTTGCTTCCACCGCCATTCCCTCATTCCCAAAGGGCACTCAGGACACCATCCTCCTCAGAAACCACTCTTATCAAGGTCACCAGTGACCTCAGCGATTCTAACCCAAAGGCAAAGGCTCCTTCTCAGGCTTCACCTCACCTGCCCTTTCCTCTGATGCTTCCTCCTTGCTGGTACTCTTGCCCGGCGCGTTCCAGGATGCTGTAGTCCCTGGCTCTCCTACTTTTTTCTTGGCCTCCCTTGTGCTTTCCTCCTCCTCTTCCTGCACTTGCTCAGGTCTTGGACCTCTGTCTATACTCACTCCTGATCTTTTCCACTTTCTTGGCTTGAAAGACCCTCTTGTTGCTGGTGCCACAGTACACATCCCCACCCAGTATCTCCAGATATGCCTGGCTCCCACATCCAACTCCCAGTAGCATGTTCTACGGGATCTCACACACTCACCATATCCACAACTGTATTTCTAATCTGCCCCTCCACCTGTTCCTTCCAGAGCCTTCCCCACCCCACCCCATTTAACAGCAACCCCATCCCTCCAGGTGCTCAGGCCAAACTGGGGAGTCCTCTGTGACTCCCAAGAGGAAAGCATTTCACACACTCCACCATCAGTCCCCTGTGTGTCTTCACTCTCTCACGCCCTCCACTGCACCACCTCCAGTGATCTCAGGATCACAACAGTTCTCTCCCCTTCTGTCACACTGCCCTACCCTGGCTTCTCCACCCAGGTGTGAGAACAGTCCTGTTGACATGTTGAGTCAGATCAATTTTAAGTTCTCTGCTCAAACCCTCCATTGGCTCCCGCTGCTCAAAGTAAAAGTTGAAGTCTTTATAATCCTCCGAAGGCCCTACCTACCTATCCTTTGACCTCATCCCCTGCGCCCAGCCTCTCTACCCGCATCTCCTATCCCTCTTCCCTGTTGACTCCTGTCTTGCCACAGGGACCTCCATATTCCTGCAACATGCCAGCAAGAGCCTTTTTCAGGGCCTTTGAACCGGCTTTTACCTTTACTTGGACCTCTCTTTTCCCATACTTGCATGGCTTACTTCCCACCTCCTTCAAATCTTGTTCCAAATGTCACCATCTCAGTGAAACTTGCCAGGACAGCACAGTTTAAAATCACCTCTTACCACACTCTGTCCTTCAAGCTGTCTCTATTTTCTCTCTAACACTTTACCTCCTCTGGAATTTGAGCTGTTAGAGGAGATGACTGTGTCAGTTTTGTTCGTGGCGGGACCCCCAGATTTCTAGAGCAGTTCTTGTTGCACAGGAAGCGATGGGAAACTTTTCTTGGATTGAACTGATTTAAACGTGGTTCAAAATTCAGATATGCAGAGTGGTTCGCACCGAAAAATGTGCCTCTCGTCTACGCTCTAATCTCCTCCCCATCCCAAGCGATCAATTTAGCAATTCAGAATTATTTTATACAAATATTATACAGTTAGCTACACTCCCCTTTTTCTTGTTTAACAAACGTAGCAGCCTGCGCACAGTCTTCCTTACTTTCCTTTTTCGGCTCACAGTTCATTTGGGGGCATCGTGCCTGATGATTTCTCCTACGTTTTCCACTGCTGCCTTCAGGGGTTTATTCCGGCCCTGTTCTCCCCGCCAGTGTCCCTCAGTGGAGATCCGCTCGCCTGGGAGTCAGTAGAGGACTCAACCACTAGTGGCTCTGGCACTGCCGGACCGGCTTTACCAGCATCTGGCTATTTGCACCTCACTCCACCACCCCCCTTACTAATAAGTAGCCAAGGGAATGTTCAGAGAGAGGTTTTGGTGGAGCGGGGATGTAGCTCAGTGGTAGAGCGCATGCTTTGCATGTATGAGGCCCCGGGTTCGATCCCCGGCATCTCCAAGGCGCGCTTGCTTCTTTCTTTCTTTTTTTCATTACTAAGTTTTCCAAACGCGCAGAGCCCTGGGGGAAAATCCCGTATCTTGGAGTTGCCCAGATCGGAAAGGGCAGTGGCAGGACTCACCCACTCCAATGCCCAGACCGTACCTCTAAACTCCTGATTAAAATATCACAAGGTGAACGTGCCAGTGGCATTAGGATGCTCATGTTTTCCCTCCTTTGAGCCCTGCACTTTTCGGGAATGGAAAAAGGTTAGGTAGCTGGCAAAGCAGAGCAAGCAGAAAACAGACCTAGGTGGGAGGGGCGGTCAGGCATGATCTGCGGAGTTTGAGTTTCTGGATCTGCCAGGCGGCTGGATGTTGCAAAGAAACCCATTTCTGAATTTGGAGCGGCATATAGTCTGAATGCTACCTTGAAGTAAGAAATGTTGAAACCGTTGTAGCAGGCGCCCGGCTAGCTCAGTCGGTAGAGCATGAGACTCTTAATCTCAGGGTCGTGGGTTCGAGCCCCACGTTGGGCGTAGGGTTCGCTTTTTTGTTCTTCGTCCTCAATTAAGGACAATTGGTTCATTCTATGACTCCCTCTGGGACAAATAAATTCTACTTTGGAAATTTCTTGTGTGCGGTATTCAGGTGGGCTTTTTTGTGGCTATGCCTTTGTTCGTTGATTAATTTATGATTTACTGCTAACGAAATGAATCATATAAATATATGTAAATTATTAGTTTTAAAAAATTTTTGTTAAAATATGCATAATAAAATTTACTGTTTCAATAATTTTTACATGTACAGTTCTGTAGCTTTTCACACATTCACACAGTTGTGCAACCATCACCACCATCCATTTCCACAACTTTTTCATCTTCCCCAAATGCAAATCCACCCAGGAAATACTAACTCCCCATTCTGTCCTTCCTCCAGCCCCTGGCAAACCACCATTCTACTATCTCTATGATTACTCTCCATTATATATATATAGACACGCTACATTTTTTTTAACCCTTCATCTGTCTATAAACACTTGGTTGGGTTCCTTCCACCTTTTTGGCTTTTGTGAATAATGCGGCTATTAGCATGGGTGTGCAAATATCTGTTCGAGTTCCTGTTTTCACCTCTGTTGAGGCTATACCTAGAAGTGGAATTGCAGAACATATGGTATTTCTTTTTTTTCTTATGTTTCTTTCTAATTTTAATTCCAGTGTAACATATGGTATTTCTATGTTTAATTTTTTGAAGAATCACCATAGCATTTTCCAGAGTTCCACAAAATGAGTTTTTAAAACATCTTTTGAGTAGGTTATACACCGTACTGTTCAAAAATTGAATCATACATAAAAATATCCAGTGAAAACCAACTGTCATCTTCCCTCCTTAGGTAACAACTTTTGTACCTGTGTATATATTCTTGCAGTTATATATCTTTTGATGCAAATATATTTCTATTTTCCTCTATTTTATACAAAAAGATAATTACAATTCTTATATTTGAAGATCTTTCCATCTCAAGATGCAGGAAATTTTCTAAATCTTTTTCCTTTTTTGCAGCTGCATAATATTCACCTGTAGATGAATCATAGTTTATTTAACAGATCACCTACTGATGGACCTTTCTATTGTTTCCAATCTCTTGTTATTATAATCAATTCTGCAGTTAATAAGTATGTAGTGTTGTTATTTTGCACTCATATCTGTGGGGCAAATTTCTAGAAGTGAGATTGCTGCGCCAAAGTTTATATGTGATTGAAACTTTATGGAAATAGACAAATCACTCACTGGACTGTAGATCTTACAGGCTGATTGATATTCCTTCCTACCGCCATGGATCAGATTGCCTTTTTCTCCACTGCTTTGGTGGCAATGGGCTGCTTTAACAAACCTGACATGATTCCACCCCCCCCTTAAAATTCCCTAACTGCCTGTCCTACAAGATAAGATGATATCCATTGCAGGGCCTACAATGCACTGCCTGACAGGAAGAGGGACCTTCCTTCTACCCTTCACAGGAACATGAGCAAAAGATTCTGAAGATCACAGTGTCACTCTTATTTATGGCTTCTAATCCAATTCTATAGGACAACATTATTTTTTCTTTTTCAGGCTTATTTCTGTGAAGGCTATCATGTTTTCTTCATTTGCAAAGCCATGACATCATTGGAAAGGCCTACTCAGTTATTTCTTATTCTGTGAATTTTTTCCCTTTGACAGAAAGAATCCAACCAAATACAAGAAATTAAATTTGTATGTGATTTTCTACTTGGTCTCGATGTCATATGGGACATATTTAAATTATTGGATCATGCATGTGGCTTGTGGTTTATGATAATTATATATAGTTTACATATAAATTATCAACCATCCACTTGAATATTTTCATTTAAAACCTCATTTGAAACAGAAAATTATCTC